CTCAGAAGGCAAAAATAAAACTGCGCAATTAATTAAAAAAGTAATTCAGGTAGAAATTAGATATATTTAAGTTTATAATGGAAGAAAAAGAAAAGTGGGAGTAATAGCACTATAAAAAAACTGATAGAAACAAACAGTTTTCAGGTGGGTACAAAAACTGTTTCAATAGCTTTTTAAAACTTATTTTGGTGCATTTTAAGTACATCATGGATAAAGATAAGTAATTCACAGTGAGTATTTACTATGGAGTTTGGACAGGGGCAGACACAGATGCAAAATAAACTGGAAGCAGAATGGAAATAGGGGAAAACATTGAAGCACGATGGTGGAATCATGGTGCTGTGGAGAAGTTTTTCAACGGGAGGAATCATGAGGAGGTCATAGCTCATGGGAAGATTAATTTATTACTAAAGGTACTAACAGGAACAGTGTACATGTTAGTACCAAAATTAACTTACAGTCTATTTTTTCATCCATTGTCCCTTTGATAGATGGAAATATGTCACCCTAAAAACAAAGAGAAGTTGCACCTGCGGAGCTGATTCATGTCAGCATGACATTATAGGAGAAGTATCTCAAAATGTAACACTGCAACATCTAAATTATTTTCAAACCTTCTACTTTGTGTTCTGGTCTTTCACCTAAAATCCTAGTAATATATATCAAACACTGTGCTTGTAGCACAACATAATCTGAAAAATTCAAATGAATACGAAAGGGAGGCGTCAATATCTTTAATATGAAATCTATCTACAGAACAGTTCTAAGTTACAAGACATCAAAACCCTTCACTTGAAAATATTCCTCACAAATGTATGTATTTTGCATATTCTGGCTACAGCAGCTAATTGGGTGGTATGTGTGGCTTTTTGATCATGTGCTTCTGCCTTTTCGGTCCCTAGAGAGATAAAGGTCAGCAGAAAGCAATGCCAAGTTATTCCGATTGACTGCTTTTAATATGGGCGAAGGGTTTCCACCCCGAAGGGAGTTGTCTCCTCTAAGAGAGCATGAGGAGAAACTGAATCATCACAGTGATGGAAATCATACGCCACAGTCTTTCAAAAGATCCATCAGGTCCCTGGCCATTAAATACCACAGAGACCTCATTTTACTCTCAACACTTACGTCATGTATTGCATCATAGACTACTTTAAATGCAGGCTGCTTGTCGTCATGGTAAACTCCTCGGTTGCCATGGAGGATGGACACCCCTTCATCCTCAGCCCCTTTACAGTTACTCCCATACATGCAGTGGTCAGGTCTGTAGTTCCACTGGCAGGGAAAGATAAAGAGAGTCTCTGTAACGGAAGAAAAGAAAAAGAACAGGCACTCGTCACGCCTGATTGACGACAACAGGAACTATAATTGTTGAGCTCAAAGCACATTTCTCCTCCGCAGTGGTTCATTCAGAAGAGTGCACACCCTTGTTAAAGAGCTTGGGGTTTGCTAAAAAGAACTGGATGGGGAAAAATAACTGGAAAGCTATTTCCCACTCAGTGGAACATATGTCCAGTGTTGTTCAACTAGAAACATTTTTATTTGAACCTAGCATAAAATCCAGCTTTAGAGTTAGTGTCTTTATAACATTTGGCTATTTTATTTTTTTTTTTCACAATGGCTTACAGGAAAAAAACTTGTAGCAAATGAATAAATGTGTCACAAACGAGGCTGCAACAGAAAAGTCCTGCAACATTTGAGAATAGGATGAAGCAAACTCCACAACACAAAAATCATAATTTCCGTGAATTATGTTTTTTTATTTAAAAACGACATTTCTTTTCTTTTTTTTTGTTTGTGCATTTTGGAGTTTGCATCTTTCATGTGTCTGCAGCGCATTTAGCCGTTTTTTTACTCGTTTACCCCAGTCGGCCACCATACCTTTTAGCTAGAACCAGAGGTTTTATTTCAGCTAAAAAGGATCCAAATTATCTGTAGTGTTAAGGTATCAGCTGCAAGCAGTCTTTGGACTTTAACCAATGGCTCTTAATAACTTAGGCTAAAAGTTAGCATGTTTTAAATAAATACAAAAATGGTTCTTTGGATCATAAACCTTGCATAAACCTGCAGTACAGAATAAGGTACGAAGCATGTTTCTTTTCAAAAAACAAAAAAAAAGGATGAAAAAAAAAAGAAGAACGGCAAAAAAAAAAAAAAAAAAGGTTTTTGGTGTGGTGCCACCAACTCTGAACTGGCACCCCACAATACCCAAAAGGTAAGATCCCACAGAAAAACAAAGTAGGGGCAGCATCATGCTCCGGGTCTAGTGGCTACAGTTCGACTTTATGGCAAAGACAAATGAGATAAAGGCACATGTATTGAAATCAATAAACCTCTAATTACTTGAGCTTATACCTCAGAAACATGTAGCAACAACTAAAAAACAGGCTAAACAAACACAATGGTAGGTACTGAAAACCTATAATAAGCAGAGGTGAACAAAAGCTCATCTAATCAGGAGTTCCTTCAACAGAGTATTAGTTTAAGGGTGCTAAACAGGTAAGTGCAGCTTTTTTATATCTTTTTATTTATCATATCTGAAAAAGTAACGTCACAAAAGCCATCACTGGTCCTAAAACAGACTGTATAAGAATCAACAAACAGGAAAAAGATCAGTTTTCTGTAGGTTTAGATAGTCAGAACTCATCCTAAAGCAGATAATGCAGGTTAGGCCAAGTGTTTGCTTTTTTAAAATGTCCTCCAACTGCTCCACTACCTCAGCTCAAGTGGGTGAACAATGAGTTACAGACGCTGTGCAAAAAAGTGGATGTTTGCAACCTCAAGTAAAAGATGAAGGGTGTCTCTGTAAAAAATCTGGTCCTCAAACCTTTGTGAATAATTGCACAAACAGAGAGGGCAGGACGTGCCTTAGAAAAATAAGGAATTAAAACGCCACATTATTTGGTTCCTTTTAGACTCGTCTACAAAGAGCATTAAGTCTCTTAAAGCCGCAAACAATAAAATGATTGTTCTCCTGTTGGTGGAAAAAAAACAACTTAAAAGATTCATCTGGAGGCATCAGAGCTGAGCTTTTTTTGGCTCAGTCGTTTGGCAGCCGCTGGATCTGAGCATTTAATGCCACATCTGGCAGCTGCAGCTGGAATCCCGCCTGAAGCCTCAGCCATGACGAGGGCTGCTTTAAAACATTACAGGATTAGTTCAGTGTCTACAGAGAGGGATATGCACGTCAACCTTTAATATAGAAGCTTTTAGAGGATTTCACTGCTTTACTTTCTGTATCCACAGTAGATGGGTTATTTTAAGTTTGACAGAAACTGCACCTGGGTTGTAGTGGAAGATAATATTGAGGAGGTCCTGGTCTCCCCAGGTGATGTGGTTCTTGTACTTCTGGTAGAGTGGATGGAGAAGATCCTCCCACGACAGACCTCCGGGAATCAGGCTACTCTGTAAGAGCAAGATAAAAAAAAAAAAAAAGTAGCTCAACACTCGACCTTAAACAGTAGACAGAAAATCATCAAAGGAGGAGAAAGATATTTATATCCCACTTTTCAAGTCCAATCTGCTGCCAGAAGAGATGCTAAATTGAGCTCTGAGGCAAGAAGTGTGTGAAGCTGGCGTGTTAATCTGGAGAGCTTCAGTCACAGCCACTCGAAGCACTCAGCCTTTGACATGAATTCAAACAAGAAAAACCCCAAGCCTGCTCCTCATAGCGCCAAGTGCTGCAGAGTGAGCTCACCTTAAAGAGCGTACTGCGGATCCTCGTTAGATTCATCAGCATTACACCGGAGTTGACCCCGGTGACCCCAAAAAAAGGGTGGCGGGCGAAGCGACTGTACCAGCCGATCTTAGGCACCTCGTGCTCTGGAGCCATCGCTGCCAGCTGGGTCTGATTGAAGGACTTCAGCAACATCCAGACATCATCCATGGGTCGCAGGAAAAGAACGTCGGTGTCCACGTAGAGCAACGAGTCCACATCCTTCAGGATAACCTGGGAGCAGCATCCAGTTAGACATAAGGGTAACAACCCTTCAGCTTTTCAACAGCTTCTCACAATAAAAACTATTTACTTCAATGTTTATTCTGATTCTGCTTGATAGACATAAAAACAGTGCATAATAGTGAAGGGAGAACACAGCTTATAACCTTCTTATAGATGTTAACAGTTTGCTCACCTGCTCGGTAATTAATTAAGAGATTTTTATGTTTACTCAGCACAGCATCCGGAGCTATAACAGGGCTGTTATAATACTGTTGTAAATGTCTCAGATTTGGCCTTTCTTTTCAATGTCACTTCAAATTGTCTGTAATTAACTGGCAGTTCAGTAAAACAAACAAAACTGTGTGATGTTAACCACACACAGACCTGCAAATCTTAATGTGGCTGCTACAGGGACCAGTTCACAACACCTTTAGTCTATTTCTTTTTTAAAGTTCTGCCTTCAGAATCAGGCAGTTATCAGGCTTGGAGTCTGGAACCAGATTAAGTCTCCATCAGGTTTTAATTCCTCTTCAATCTATGTTGAACATAAATGAGACAATTCTGTAAAATTAAGACTAAAACAAATATTATTCAGAATTAACAATTAATATTCTCTATAAACCGATAACTGTTCATTCAAATAGAACCATTGAGGGTTTCAAGGATCTAAATTAAACTCGATGTACACCTACTATCTCATGAAATTAGATTTTAAGGTTATTTGTGCTAGAACTGAAACAATGAACTGGATAAATAATGAATAATTAATTATTATAATAATTGTAAACTCATTAAGTGATGCATTTATCATTAACAGGATCATAGAGACTCTAAAACATGCCTTTAGCTGACAGAAAAAATCATTTAGAGGAGTAATTATAACAAAATTGTAAGAGAATAATCGAAACATTTTGCATTTAAGACAAGAAAAACATTTCCGTCTGTCAATATGCTCTATCCAGAACTCCTTAATGGGAAAAGTTTCAGTTTCCACTGCTTTAATACTGTAAAAATTCTTCTTCAATGAGCTTTTTGCTATCGGATTATTAACCGATTAATCAAAAAAATTATCAACAGATGAATCAATTAGCAAAATAATCATTAGTTGCCTAACTTGTACTGTAATATTGATAAAGCTCTAAGCAACGTTGATCCAAAACAGCCTTCTTGGCTTTCAGTTGAATTTAGGAAGAAGCATAATTTATTCCCTGTTTGCTGATCAAGTAGACAGTTTGTTCTTACAGATTAATATACTTTCAGTTTACTAAAATAATTAAAAGGAGTTCCTCAAGGCTCAATCATAGATCTTGTGTAATTTCACACTTTTAATAAGAGCATTAAGTGCAGCTTTTTTGCCAAATGTCATTAACCAATAATCAGCTGGATACGGCAATCTAAGAGGAGCACCTGAAGATGAGGGATGAAGAAGAAAATCAGAGAAGCTGCAATTCGATTTTCAGGAAAAACTCTTTTAGATTAAACAAACTGAATGGCTACTGATTGCATTTCAATGGGAGGAAAGCTCTATGGATCTGCTGTACCAGCATTATGCCCCTTTTTGTTGTCAGAAAACTGGCTGATATTTCAATGTACACTGGTCTGAAAAGGAAAATCAATAATAGAGCACAAGATCCCCTTAATGAAATCATTGGTTTCCCTCTCTTGAGACGAGGCTGTTTCCTTGAGTGTGCATTGGGAAGTCATGCATGTAATTAACTCTAGCAATGGACTACACCTAGAAAGAAGAGACGAAACAAGGAGAAAAAGATGTGTGTGATGAAAAACCTTCTTTCTAACCTGCTCAATGACATTTTGCAAGCTAATAATATGTGATGAGATATGGTGATATGGTTGCAGTCTTACAGGGAGGAAGAGTCGCTGAGCAGCACAGGGCTTGAAGAGCTTCTTCCACTCATCAGCGTCCCCCACAGAGAAGGAGATGGGGTAGATTGAATACTTGAATCTGTCTGAGATGGATTGAGGCCACTGGTTAAGCTGTAAGCAAAGGGATACATCAATTATGGAAACATACAGAGATGATTATATTGTCTTGTCTAAAAAGAGAAATCAGCGGCATCTAAAACAGTATGAACTGGTCAGAGCTTTACAAAATAAGTGATCAGATATTTGCCACAAAAAACAAAAATATCTGCAGCTTGACTAAAAACCAGAAAAAAATATAGCTAAAACTGATAAAGTTAATACATCGCTGTAAGAATTTGGCCCTGAAAAGACTTGAGAGTCAGCAGGACTTGGCAAGCACCTTCATCACGTCTCTAAACACTGTGGCTGCTCCTGAGCTCTTCCCTGTTCAAAGTCAGCATATGTGCAACATTATCCAGGCCCAGGATGCCGTGCTTCCCTTTCTTCCTCTTTCAACACATGGCTCTGATTCAGCACCCATGGAGGAAGGCTTTTACACTAAACATTTAAATGGAAACTATTACACATTAAGTTTGATGTCTGTTATTAAAAGAAATTATAGAAACGGGAGTTTATATTAGTGTTTGAGGAATTATTTGTTAAGCAGACCTAAAAAGGTCGACCTTAGAGGAAGCATGATGGTTTTATTTTATCCTGATACTTTGGAAGAAAAGAGACTGTATGACCAAGAAAAAGAGTTTTCAGAGAATCATTGTGTGCATACGTGTTTGCACACTGAGTGTTTCTTACCCTTTCTTCAAACTGAGGGGCCAAGGGGTCCTCTGCAAAAATGTGAAACTTGATCTTCTTCAGGCTGAACAGCAGGGCCGACTTAAGCATAGTGAGGGTCTCATCCAGGCGGTTCCCACAAGCCACTACAGCCAAGTGCATGAGGTCCTCAGGCAGCCTGCGCCTGGTCACGGGTAGGAGAACGTTACCTGGAAACTTACTGGAAAAGAAAAATACATATTGACACAAATAAATGATAAAGCAGGGCATAGACAGTTGAAACACTAATAAAATATCTCTAATGTAAATTTATAGCTGCAACTTAAGTCTGCAACATCTGAAAATAAATGTAACTGCTGGTTAAAAGGAGTATAGCATGCAAAGATTTTAAGACCAGAATGCGACTTATGGAAAAGAAATCAGCCACTGATTTACTTCCTAGTAAAGAGACCAGTGAAAGCAGTGGGTTGCATTAAATTTGATTTGTTTATTAAAGTAATAATCAATCTTCTACTGCTTATCGATTAGCATCAGGGCTGATGCCTATCCAGAGGACCCGGAGAGAACCAACGCACTGCACTGATCGAGATTACAGTGAACATCATGCAGAAAAAAACCAATACCAGAGCTAAGCACCTATACATTTGCATGCCCAAATGTCCAGTTTCCTGTTTGTAGTGGCTGTAAACCTATTACCTTTTTGCCATGGTTACCGAAAGACATTTTCTTTTTACTTCTCCAGGTCATGAAGCGTGTTTAAGATACGTTTCGCTTTTGATTCAGTTCCTGTTTGAAGAGAATGTGTGGAAGGATCAGGTCACCAGTTGCATGAAGATGTGGGATTTCTATGACTTAACTCGAGTCTGTTTTTATTATTATCATATTATTAGGATGACAGTGGAGTTTGCCCTGAAATCGAAGGATTGACGGTTCAAGCCCCGACTCCCACTTTCAGTGTC